TCAGACGTGCAATACAACACTTTAAGTGCACGTATTCTGGAACTTGAAACTGGTCAAAGAGCTCTATATTCCCAAAACTCATATATCATTAGTAATCTAGAAGAGCTAATCAAGAAGTTTGAAGACTTAGACACAAAGCTTAATGCGTATTTTTAAGGACATCAACCTCCTCCAGCATCTTAGGATGTTTTTATGTTAATTTCAAAACAATTATGTTTTTCTGTTTAAGTATCAAAAACTATGTAGTTGTGAGTTGTTAGAACTTATGTAATGTGTTATTTATGTTGCTACTATGTTAAGTATGTTGATTGTGTGTTTAATTATCTATGATGATGTTTGGTTAGTTAATATATGTGCTACATATTTTAAACAGATCATGGTGATGAACATTGTGGAACTTTTGGTCTTTATGGCAAGTCTTTGCCTACCTATTTGGATGGGTGAAGTTATGGACTATGTTCATAACCTTGATGATTTGTTTGAAGTTTTAGCTCATGTTGAAGAAATAATATCATGTTTAGCATAAATATTTTCCTCTTTTTGTTGATAACAAAGGGGGAGAAATAGTTATGTATTGTTATGTTTTTTATGTATTGTTATAGACTCAAATTTGCATATATGCAGGGGGAGTAAGTATGAGTAAGTATGGTTATTTCATTATGTTTTTAATCTGATTATAAAATATATACTTATGCATAAATTATTTGTTATCATCAAAAAGGGGGAGAATGTTAAATATCATATCTCCATGATAGTATTTTGATGATAACAATTTAAACAGTGTGTGCACTAACTTTTATATGCAGATTTTAATATCAGAATATGAACAAGTACAAGATGTTTTCAAGGCATTATGAAGTGAAGAAAATGAAGAACAGATGAGATAATGTATTTTACATTTTTTTTACTTAGAATTATTGTACAAGCCTTGATCACACACACGAACACACACAATATTAGAACACACTAACACAGGCTTAGTGTGTTGGTTAACTATAGAAATCCCCTATGTTAACCATTAGAATTATAGTTAAAACTTAAGTATAAAAATATTTTATTTCAGAATTTTTACTCTTAGTAGTTGACTAATTAGAATAGTAGTCGACTACTCGTGTATAAAACTCAAATACATGTTTTTGTCAATTTACAGTATAGTCGACTACAATGGATTATAGTCGACTACTCAGGTGTTTTACAGAAACATAAGTTTTTGTCTTTTTACAGTATAGTCGACTAATCAACATTATAGTCGACTACTGAACGCAAATTTCATTTTATCAGTTTCTGTCAAAAATACAGTGTAGTCGGCTAATGAGCATTGTAGTCGACTACTGAGAAATTTTCTGAATACACAGAGTCTGTTTGAACTCAGTATAGTCGACAAATGTGTATTGTAGTCGACTACAGATACAGTTTTTTCAGTATTCAAAGTTTGAATTTATGACTGTTTATAGCCGTTTTTAAACATTTTTAAAAGTTTAAAAAATTGTCTTTTCAATGGCTATAAATAGGTTATTTGTTCAGAAAAAATGCAGATACTTACATACCCATAAGCTTTGATCTTTGTGCATTTTTCAAGTAAAAAATATTCAGATTTTGAGAAAAAAAAAGTTTCTGAAATTGCCTTTGAACATCATTCAAATACTTATTGTTTAGGCAATTTAGAGAGGTTAAAAAGAATCCTAAGCCACTGCTGCACTTCACTACACATTCAAGGCTTATAGGATCAATTGTGTTCTTGCTTCAAAAAGGATTTTCTCTCGGGTTTGAGAGGGTTGATCTCTTGGTTTAGAGTTTGGTGTTCAAATTGGCAAGGTGTTTGTCAATTAGTGTTGCAATTTGTAGGGACTTACAAATTGGTCAGGTTTGCATTTGATTTTGTAAGTTTATTCAAAATCATAGTGGAAACTCTCAAGCGGGATTTGCTTGGGGACTGGATGTACACCGGATTGGTGGAACTAGTATAAATCCTTGTGTTTGTGATTGTGAATTTCTGAGATTGCCATTTTTCGTTGTAATTTATAATCTACTTTGCATAAATTTTAAAAGAACACTATTCACCCCCCCTCTAGTGTTTAAGTGTATCTATTTCAGATCCTACAATAGATACTCTTCGAACTTGGCCTGGTCGAACTCATACTCGACCTCTACATCAGTAGAGATCCAGATTCGAGGTTTCGACACATCAGCCTTCGTAGAAAGGCTGTTAGCTCCCACTGTGTTCGCCAGCGTCTTTGGTTCAGAAATTACTATTTTTATTGTCTTGAATCTATTATAACTTCAGTCATTACAATAAACTCAAATAAATTAAAAGTTGATTTTTTATAAGATCTTCTTACACAATGAAAGTATAAAGATTACAATTCCTTCAAACAACACACAACAGTAGTTTATCTCATATTGCTTGTGTGGGATCCTTGCCTGTACCGAGGTTTATGCATGGATCACCTACGGATCAGATCTGGTTGACAAAATTATTAATCAGAACTCCCACTTCACGAAGGAAGTAATTGTTGAAGTATTGATCTCGACCAAGCGAAATCAATACTCTTCTCAAGAGTAAGACTAAGCCTAATATTAAGGAATGGGGATATGAGGCTTCAGATCTCTCAAACTCTCCTTCTTTATGTAGAAGAACTCACCAAGATCTCTTCCTCCTCTCTAAAATTCATAGCTCTTGGCTCTGAAGTTCGGCAGCACCTTCTCGTCTTGATAATAATTCGCCCCTTGTGAAAGGAGGTCCTAGGCTTGTATTTATAGGGCTCCAGATATGGGGTATTTAGATAAGAATGAGAGATTTGGTCATATCTTCAGTTAATAACCACCTACAACTTTTATCTTTTGAGTTTCCTCAGATTCAGATTGTAGCATGGTCGAAAGGTCTCTTCTTTGTGCGCGTCACCTCAGGGTGACCCGCATGTGTGCGGGTCAGTCTTTAGTGACTCACACGGTAATTTGCCTTAATCTCTCTTGCTCGACATCGGAATGAGGTGATTAAAGTTGAGTTGGAAATCTGGGGAAGAGACCTACAACTTTTATCTTTTAAGATTTTTCATATTCAATGCGAGTCATATTGAAAATAACACCTTTTCATGCGGATGACCTCGAAGTGGCCCGCACATGTGCAAGCCACCTCGAACCCTCCTGATTGTGTTTGTTCCGTCATTTCACACGTTTTAACATTTCACGTGTGTTCCTTCGTTTCTTTTTTAGCCTTGGATAATCTCGTTCAACTTAGATGATAATGTTTATCATCCTCGCTTCGTCTCGAGCTGCGTGCGGGAACCTATAGGTAATTTTTGACGCCTACAATATCCTAGTAGTCGACTAGTCTAAAATGACATAGAAACTGATATTCTGTCTGTGTCTTTATTAGTCGACTACTAATGTTATTAGTCGACTACTAAGGGGTAGATATGAGATATATGATATGTTTTAAGTCTCACTCAATATCTATTAAGACTACTAAGGGGTAGATATGAGATATATGATATGTTTTAAGTCTCACTCAATATCTATTAAATCTAATGGTTATCATAGGGGATTTCTATAGTTAGATGATATGTTTTAAGTCTCACTCAATATCTATTAAATCTAATGGTTATCATAGGGGATTTCTATAGTTAGCTAACACACTAAGCTTGTGTTAGTGTGTTCTAACACTATGTGTATGCATGTGTTTGAGTAATCAAGGCTTGTACACATTTCTAAGCAAAGAAAATATAAAATTATACTTTGACAATAAAGTATATCTTATTCTTTGCTACATTTTGCCTTGAACTCATCTTATGTTTTGAGTATCTCTTTGAATATCATTGTTGATTTAGCTCTGATACTGCAAAACAAATACACAACATATAATATTTGTTATCATCAAAACAAACTAATCTTGGGGTTAAGATTCCTAACACTTGGGAGGACCTAATTTAAAATCCATCCTAATTCCAAGAAAGTTGATAAGGATATTTGAATATGTAACCATGGAATGGGGAGCAAATCTAACCAAACACCCTAGCAGACCCCGGTACCAATTTAACTAAGTATTTAATACACTAACCAAACTCACACATGATTCAAACAATATGTATTAGTTTGTGTTACCTTAAACAAGAAACATGAAACCAATTTAACTTAGTATTCAACATAGCATGTAAGTGATAAACCTTAGAATCAATCAAGGGCTACTCTTTGAATCCATAAAGAGTGATCTTCGAATCCACGAAAAAATATTATAAAATTTTTTTATTGATAAAAAGTTATAATTATTCTAGGGTTACAACTTACAAGCCTCTTCTTAAATAGAAAAATTAAAATAGACTTCTAACAAGACTAGAATTACATAAAAATAAAGGGTAACAAAATCTACCTTAAAAAGACTCTTATGATTGAGAAAATCAATCAAATCTAAATCAGCTCATATTTGTTTCCTAACTAAAACAAGAATGTACTTTATTACTAAAAATAACCTAAAGGCTGATTATTTCCAAATTCTATTAAAAATGGATATTGTTGATGAGATTTTAGAAATTTGCCAATTTAGTTGGCTTCATCTTGTCCAATATAAGAGATTTATATATATAATATATTAGAATCCGCCTTTTGGTTTGGAAGATATGATCATTTTTTCTTGTGGTAAGGTCAACAATGTGTTCATAACCCCATTTGGCTCATATAACAGTCTCTTGCTTCATGACTTTATTCTTTATGCATCCTGCATTAGTCTTCTCTTGTTGAAAGAAGCTCGATCGTGAGCTTACATTTGTTTGAATAGTAATTTTCTCGATAAAGAACTTCAACTTTATCCTACGTAGATCAGTATTCACCTTGTACTTTCCATTAATTTTTTTTTTCATTTGTTCTTTTACCTCCACACTAGGTCTTCTTTTGAATTAATTTTGTGTATAAATCTTTCCCACAGTATGTGTATGTTACTGGTAGTATTTGTCTTTAAATATTTTTCTTGTAACTTCTCATATTATAGTACAAGAATTTTCCTCATACTAAATCTCCAGCTCTTTCATTTTCTTTGCTATGGACCCTCCTTCAAGCATGTTACAAACATAATCAATTGTCTCGCTCTCTATTCTACTATTCTCCTCCACTAGAACAAAATCAACAAATGTAATATCTTCCACAATAGCTTTGGGAATATCATGAACGATATCCATCTTCACTTGCATATCATGACCAACACTAGAAATCTCTGGCACAATGATGGTTTTCTTCTCAAGAGGAAACACATTGGTGACTAAATCTTCCTTTTTAGTTACTACCATCGTATAAGCCTCTTCTATGTTCTTCAAATCTTCTTTGAGTGTCTGATTGTCCATAACTAAAAAGATCTTCTTCTTATTAGTTGCTATCATGGGTGGCTCTGATTTTGCATGACAATACTTTTGTAGTCTTCTATATTTATCCTTCTAAGCTCTTCACAATTCTATACTCTTATTTAAGACGTGTTATTCATTTCGTATTGTTGATTTAGATTCAGACAGTTGTCATTCTTAGATTGGGACATGGACTCATATTTTATGGTCAGAGCCCTGGACTTTTTGATTGAGTTTCAATTTTTGTGACTAGAATTCTTGAATTTTTTATCTGGATTCTTGAACTTTTGCTTTGGATTCATAGACAGATGGTTGGATTTCTCGACTAAATTTTAGATTCATGGATTATATGGATTAGGAGTTTTAAATTAAATTATTATGTTCAATAATAATCATTAATAAAAAATAAATATTAGTTAAAAAACCACCCTCATTTCGATTAACGGATGACAACAATAAAACTGAATGTATCTTGTAATCTATTTAAAAAGTTCAAACAAAATGTATATAATATAGTATTAAATATTTAAAATATTTATATATTTTAGAAATGTAAAATAATGAATATATCTAAGTTAATATCAAATATTAAATATATTAAGTGATTAAATAGTATTAAATATATTATATTTTAAATAAGTTAAATAAATTCATAGAAGCTCATTAAAAGTATTTTAAAATAAATACATTCAATGTTAACATATAATAACTTAGAAACATGTAATATTATAAAATTAAATATATTTAATTTGAAATATGTTAAATATTTAAATAAGTAAAGAGAAGAGAAGAGAAGAAATCCACATAGTAACATCATAATCCATCAATTTTTACTTGGACTTTCTCTTGAAATTTTCTCATTAAAAACTATAGAGTTGAAATGGAATGTGGATTTTGAAATCCTAGTCCTAATAACAATCCTAAATAACCAAGAACGCCTTAAATTCAAATTTAAATCTAGTCATAAACCAATAACACGTTAAACTTTAATCAAAATCCTAGTCCTAAATTAATAACACATTAAATTTAAATCTGAATCCTAGTCCTAAACCAATACCATCCTAAATTTAAATCCAAATTTTAGTGTGAAACGAATAGCAACCTAAATTGAAATCAAATAAAAAGTTCGAGTCTAAATCAACAATTCTCAACCAATAACCCCCCCTGTTAGACCCTAGAGGGGGGGTGATTAGGGTCTTATGCTAATCTAATCCGATTTAAATGCCAATTAAAATTAATTAACAAATTATTCTTGCAAGAGAGATATTCAATATGTTACAAGCAAGAATAAGCAATATGAGCTAAGGTAAAAATCCTAATAATGAGATATAGGCAATGTATGTGCAAGGATATATAAACAACACAAGGGTAGATAATCTAAACAAGATAGTGGATGATATAGTAATGAGCAATGCACAATGGCGATATAAGATATGAACATAAATGAAAAAGAACGCCAAAGCACACTCAAACACAATCAAGTGATCACGGAGTTCGGACCTTCCGTCCTACGTCTCCGCTCCCCACTCCCGGGGAGAAATCCACTATCAACCGGGTTTTCTACGTTCACCCGAATAACGTTTACACCCCACAATATCGGTTTTCAACGCTCACCGATCAACGTCACTCCTCACACTCGGTTTCTAGCTCACCGAAAACCTCACTACACACTCGGTTTCTAGCTCACCGAAAACCTCACTACACACTCGGTTTCTAGCTCACCGAAAACCTCACTACACACTCGGTTTCTAGCTCACCGAAAACCTAACAATCTCACAATGTAACAAATATAAATTGTTCTCTAATATGGATGAGAACACAATAAAAGCTCACAGTTAATTGTTACAACTCTCACCAACCCAATTATACTATGTATGAAAATACAATAAGCTCAATGTGGGGTGTGTAACAGTGAGATTCAATAAAACTTAACTTCATAGAACTAGCAATAAGAATTGATATGAAATTCAATAGTAAAATGCTAGAAATAGAGTTAAGGAAACTTCTCTAAAACAGCAAAGAGAGATGTATGAAATGTGAAGAGAATCTCTGTCAATAGCTGCATTGTTAAAACTGCCTCTTTGTAAACAAACAGCAAAACAACTTAAACCAAACAAAAACAAGCTTCAAACCCTTGTTAAAACCTTGTTTTAAAAAACTTCTTAAAAACTTCTTAGCTTAGTTGAACAAGACATCAGGCAATGGGGTACATAACGCCACTAGAAAGTCTCAGCCAAAACCCAAAAAGCAAAATGACGCAATAAACCGCAGAAACAGCTCAGAGAAAGAGCCGTAAAAGACAACGCATATTGTCGATCGACCGAAAATCCGTCGGTCGACGCGATGAGAGCCAAAAACACGAAAATTTCTGAGGACCCATCGTCGGTCGACCGGCAAATTCCTGTCGTGACCGATTTTGAGCTCATCGGTCGACGGGACCGCGACGACGACTCTCTGGAAAAAAATCTGACGAATGGTCACTCAGAAACCGTCGACGCGTACCTGGTCGACCGAAAACTGATACATGAAAAAACTATTTTTCTGATTTTAAAACCCTGTTTAAAAATATCAAATAAATTCCAAAAAATGTAAAACTTTGGGGAATGATTGTAGACATGATAATACACATGCTACAAAAACTGGTTTTCTAAAAAGACTTCCCAAATGAGAAATATCATCTTTTTGCAAAATAGTCCAAAACATGAAAATATGAGATACTTGAATTTTGATGTTTTGACATAAACCAACTTTTGAAACTTTGTGAAATGTTTTTATAGACTTAGTAAAACATGTATAAACTGATATTGAAGTCTACAAACTAAGAATACAATATTTTCACAAAATTGCATATTCTATGCAATGTTTTCAAAAACACAATAGAAAATATGAAATATAATTTCATATATATATAAACATAAAAACCTAAAACACATGTATGTATATATATAACTATATATATGCATAGAAACCAAAACTTATGTATATATATATAACTATATATATATACGAAGAAACCAATAAATGTGTGTGTATAGATATTGAGCTTAACGTACTTAACACACATAATATAAATCCTAAACTAAATTACCCAAGCTTGATTGGTCTTCAATAAGCTCTACTTGGTAATCTCGCGGATGAAGCTTGAACTTGGATCTTGAACTTTGAATTGCAAGGCTTCACCGACATTCCGCCAACCTCCTTTGGATATGATCATTGAAGCTCTATTCCATCCATCCTCCAACCACGTTGTTTGTCTATAATAAATAAGAAAACACAAATACTAGACAAACAACATTAGTGGTAAATTGTTTGTTAAACATCATCAAAACAAGAAGGCCAACAATCTCCCCCTTTTTGATGATGACAAACAATTTACAAAAAGAAGTATATGCCTGAAGTAAATGAACATATACAAGATAATAACTCACATGCATATAAACAACCAAGATAGATATACTCACAATATTTCTCCCCCTTTGACAACATCAAAAAGGGGACAAAAAGAATAAGAGAGCGAAAGCTCCCCCTATCAATATGCATGGGTGAGTATAACACATAACAAGTATAGGGATTGCTCCCCCTATCAAAAAGCCATATAGAATATATGCAATGAAGATCATGGCAAAACATATGTGAGCAAGCATACATGAATATGCTAAGTATTACTCACATGCAAAAAGATAACGAGAACACATATAAATATCTCAATATGAAAATAGTGTCTCATTAACAAAAACATAAAGATCAAAAATAGATTTATGAAATCAAAAGAAAAGGAACATGAAAATCATGTAAAAAGTTTTCAAATGAAAACAAATCAACCAAAAGAAATCATAAATCAAGATTTAAATCCAAAAACGATGTTTGATCAATCAAGAAAATTTTCTTTGTGGAATTTGATCCAACCACATATGGAATACATTATAAGGCACGAATAGATGATCCATAAGCACAAACACATAAATATCATCATATAAGTGAAATATAATGAATTCAAAACAATAATTCAAAACAAAATCTTTGATAAAAGAATTTTGAGAGAGGCAACAATGTATCAAGCTCTTAAGCTTGTTTTAACCCATATAATCATACTAGCATCCGGTAAACATGATTTGGGAATAGACACTAGGAATTATGAAAACATAAGAATTTGACCAAAGAAAATTTGTTTTCATAAAAAGTTTCAAAGCATAATTTTCAAATAACCAAGAATAAGGAAAAAATAAGAATACTAAAATTCTTGGTTTAAAATTTAAATTTGTTTTGGTACCCAAGAACTCTTGGTACCAAAAGATTTAGGGACATGACCCCTATCAATAAAGCTCAAAGCCCTAGGGTTATGAACCCTCTTAGGCACATATGGTGCACTAACATGGTCAAAACAATATTCATTCAAATAACCCTTCCGATTATAATTTGTGCAATGAAAGAGATCCATTTATTTTTATGGACCATTAGCTCGTGCACGGGAATCATTTGCAAATAAAGATTTTCTTTTAAAATTATTTTGCAAATGAGAAACATCATTAAACAAAGGTGGTGCAAATGTGAAACTCTCTTTAAATCAAAACAAAATTTGGCCAAATGACCAAATCGACCACAAAAATCACATTGATACACATGAGCATGCTTATGATGAGAAATAGGTGCATGTGTGTGTACATGTGATGAAGAAACTTGATGAGATGCACAAGAATGATTAATATTCTTATGTTTTTGTGCATCATAACAAAATCTAGCAAGATGGCCTTTACGACCGCAATTTTTGCATTTGTAGACTTTGCTATACATGTGTGCATGATGTATAGGATGTTTAGATGTTTTAGCATGAGACTTAGCACACATGTCCATAAGTTTCTTATGGTTATCAATGCATGTTTTTAAAGTTGAATCTAAGCATGATATGCGTTCCTTAACAAGATTCAAATCATCATTATGCACAACATCATTGATAATAGAAGTAGAGCATGTATGATTATTCTCAAAAGAATTAAGTTTATTTC